AGCACACACACCTCTTCTGTGTATGCGCAGAGCCTCCTGCACATGCTCAGAGGGTCAGCGCATGGGATGTGATGACATCCGAGTAGGTGGGCGGAACCTCCCGTCACCGGCCCTACCAGATTGCACAAGTCGGATAGATCCGGCTGGATTTTACCACTGGATTGAAGCTCCATGCCAACTAACTAGCCCTGCTCAAAATGCCCTGCAGTAATGCCATACTATATCAGATACTCCAAGGCACTGTGACAATTTATAATTATGGTTTCTGATTTTCCTCATAATGCTCCTCTGCTGTTTCCTCCAATTGTCAAAGAAAGCCCATTGGTTTAGAATGGACTCAACAGAGTGCATGGTGCCCAATCTCTAAGTAAAGCAACATTTTGAAGAGATAATTCTAATCTCCTTTCTATAATCTAGATTGCATCTTGAAATCTTATAATTAGCAAGAGTTAATCTTATTAAGACTCTCAACACTTCCCTGGATTATAAGGATTTTTTTAAAAGTAATTTTTGCATATTCTGGAATATTTCTTTTCCCACTCATCTCCAGTCCAAGGATGGTTGGTGAACTTGGACCAGTCATTCACCTTCCGTTTAGCTTGACAGGATGTCCGAGAATACCATCCTGAGTTCTTTGGAAGAAGTGGCATAAGACTATAATTTAATTTAATTCAGAATAAAGCTGGAGGGAACCTTGGAGGTCTTCTAGTCCAACCCACTGCTCAAGCAAGAAACCCTAAGCCATTTCAGACAAGTGGCTGTCCAGTCTTTTCTTAAAAACCTCCAGTGATGCACCCACAACTTCTGAAGGCAAGTTGTTCCACTGGCTAATTGTTCTCACAATTATGAAGTTTCTCCAGGTTGTGATAAAGATGGTGAATATTTAAAATTTGTTTTCCATTTGTCAGGCTGGCCAAACCAGGCTGAGAATTACAGAAGTCACAAAAGTCCTAAGACATTAGAGTTTCTTTCCCATCTGTTGTCTAGCTTTCCAAAGAGCTCTCGCTTCTAGTCATTTCTTTTCTCTCATTCTTCTGGCCTTCTGCTGCTCAATTTTAGAAGGCCTTGTAACCCATTGATTTCCTTGGGCATTGACTAATTGGCCATTGCTCACAAAGTGCTTTTGAGAATTTAATGAATAAAACACCCACAGGATTTAACAAAGGAAAAGAAGAAAAATCAACTAAGCCATGCCTGGAAATATTCTTAATGACATTCACTCTATATGTGGTTCTCCACCCCCTCAATTTCATTCAAGAAACTATTTAGGCCAGTGGCCATCATAACATCCTGCGGCCACAAGTTCTTTAAGTTAATTATACTTGTGTGAAGTACTTCCTTTTCTTTATGGTCAACACACTGCCAATTGGTTTCATCAGTTGAACCTAGTCTCTAATGTTTTGTGGGAACAGGATCTAATTAACTTATTTCAAAAAAAACCTCTGAATTCTTCACTGTTTATCTCTATTGTGTTCCCATACATTACTCTTGCAAAGTAGACATTAAAAGGAGATAGCAATCATTCAAACACTTCAATCCTTTGTTCTGCATTTTGATGATATAATTTTTATTCTGCTTTTTTTTGTTCCAATCTCTTTCTAAATAAATCTTCCTTCTTTAAAAACAATTGAATGGATTCCACCCAGTTAAACAAGCAAACACATAAAAACAATGAAAAAGTTAATTTCCAAAAATATTGATGATGAACTGTTTTAATACTAAATTGCTTTTTAATATAAAGCCATTTTTAAAACATAATTGAAATTATATCAAAATAAGGCCATAGATTTTTCAATAAATCAACTGGTAGAAACATTAACATAGTATACAACATTAAGATTGCTACTGTATAGAGACTTAGTCCTGCCAGCGAATAAGGATGATTTCTGAAGAAATTGCATAGTATTGTACTATAAAATTTTAATCTTCTATTTAGTTTTAAATATAAATGCAGCTGAACACTGTGGGACTTTAGTAAAAGGGAAATTTACTATCTGTAACAAATGCTAGCTAGCTATATTAGCTGCCATATGAATAGTTTTTGTGACATTGAAAAGTGTATTTTCACTGCAATAGGTATGATTACCAAAAGAGCAAACAAGCAAACATAAGACTTTTTATATCTAATAAAAAAGCTAAGAAAAATTTCCAGCTCAGAAGTATCAACCATTCTGAAACAATCCAGGATCACCAGCTGGTAGGAGAATCTACCATCAATCAATCAATCTCCTTAAAGCATGGGTGGGCAATTATGGCCCCTTTATAACATGTGAACTTCAACTCCCAGAATTCTTGAGCCACTATGACTGGCTCATGAATTCTGAGAGTTGAAGTTCACAGGTCCTAAAGGTACCATAGTGGCCACCCCCATCTCAACGTATAATGGGACAAGCTTGGTGAATGTGGAAAAGACACTTTGGCCACCTTTCCAATTACCTGAATGACAGGCCAACAATGTTACAAGTACTCTGTACCTGTATTCTGTTTCCTTGTGCGGCTCAGGAGGTTGATATAGATTTATTTGTTTCCCTTTCATTTGGGCTGGAAGAGGAAACTGCTAGAACTCCTTATCACTTTCATCCAGCTTCCAAATATCCTAAATGGTAAGCACTGCAAGGGAATGGACAGTGCTGGCAGCTGTCATTGGTTGCACTTGAAAATGTTCCATGCAGCATGCCACATGCTATTAGAGCAGGCAAATTGGTACAGCTTTCCTTCCAATGTAGTAAAAACATCAGAAAGCATGGTTGTATAAATCTACTTTTAATTACTAGAAGCCCATACTTCTTTCTTTCTTTCTTTCTTTCTTTCTTTCTTTCTTTCTTTCTTTCTTTCTTTCTTTCTCAAACTGGTCTACTGGCTTTTTGAAAACATGTTAATCATCAGTCTAGGGACCTTCTAGAAGAATAGTATACTAATGGATATAAGGAACCCACCTAATGTCTGAATAGTGCTTTGTGAAATATAACACAGTCTTACATAGGCAGATGCTTTCCTAGAAACAAGGTAACTAGTTTTGGTTACAGGGCAAGCAAAAATGGAATAGTACTCAGGGAATGGAGAAGGGGTATGCCGACTGCCTTTTCACTAATAGCAATAGCACTTAGACTAATAGACCGCTTTACAGTGCTTTACAGCGGTTTACAGAGTCAGCATATTGCCCCCAACAATCTAAGCGGTTTACAGAGTCAGCATATTGCCCGCAACAATCTGGGTCCTCATTTTACCTACCTCAATAGGATGGAAGACTGAGTCAACCTTGAATAGAAGCTCATCATCCAGATCGTGAATGTTGCAGAGTGTTCATATACCAAGACTTGTTTTGGGAGAAGATGGAAAACACTGGAACAGCTAAGTAGAAGTTTTGTCTGCTTTGCTAATGGTCTGGGAAAGAGGGGGAAAAAAGTGTTTTATGCCATATGCCATCTAATAATCTTTAATTGGGCATCTTGGTGCACTAAACAAGAATGAATCTTCGCTGTGTACAAGAGACACCCAAAGTATGTCAATATCTAAGACATAAATTCTTACTGTGCCGCTTTATCACCAATTCGCTTATTGGTAAACTATTGGTGCACACAGTTACTATAGAAGTCTATGGGAAGGTTGCTTCTTCAACCTGCTGTTGCTTGGATTACAGCTCTCCTAATCCTTAGCCAGCACTGTTTTTATGCTGAGTGGCACCCAGGGGTGGGTTGCTGGGGGTTCGCAGGGGTTCAGGAGAACCTCTAGCTAAGATTCTGTGCAGTTTGGAGAGCCCCTAAATCCCACTCCTCGCTGGCCCTGCCCACCCCACCCCGCCCTTTCCAGAAGTCCCCACGTGGCCCGTTTTGGATGCAGGTAAGTGCAGGGTGTGCATAGAGGCTCGGGGAGGGTGAAAAACAGGCCTACTGGAAGTTCAGGAAGGCCAGAAACAGGCCTGTGTCCGTACTCCAGAGGGCCTCTGGAGCCTGGGGAGACAGTTTTCGCTTCCTGGAGGCTCGAAGAAAGCCTCTGGAGCCCCCAGAGGGCAAAAACGCCCCCCTTCCCACCGTGGTGCAGGAGGCTGAATAGGCCACACCCACCATGGCCACGCCCACCCAGCAACTGGGCAGAGAAACCCTTGCTAAAATTTTTGAAGCCCACCCTTAGTGGTACCATAGATCAAAAAAAGTTCCATTTAATATGATATACTATTATTGCCACAGTGATAGTTGGCTGAGTAGTTTTGAACATAAGAACAGCAGTAATAATAATTGATGTTGAAATAGAGTTATTATACTCATTTTAATTTTAAAAACCTCCTGTCGATGAAATTCACATATAGTCTGGAGTTATGGATGGCAATTAATGATGTTCTATCTTTGACACGTGCTTTCGATTCTGCCCATTATTTTGCAAAATAGGCCTATGGCTCTAGTCATCCCCAAAATCCCCCTTTTTACTCTTTAAATAAAAACAGCTGAACAGAAATGTTCTTCTTTTTTATTATTCAAGGGATGAAGCCAAGCAAGCTACCTGACTGTTCTCTTATTTCTTTGTAGCTCTTTTAAAAAAAAAATAAGGGGAAAGAGGGAAAACATGTACCCGTTATGGAATGGGAAGGAAAGGAAAGAATGGAGAGAAGAGAGGAAAAATACTGGAGGCAAAGACAAAAGCAGGAAGGGAATGTAAATAGATGGGAAGCTAGATCTCCCATGAAGAGTCCAGGAGAGCATGTGGTCCATGGTGTTTTCAACCCTAACTGCAGTGTCGCCAATTTGAACCCTCTCTCCATAAACCTTTTCAACCTCATCTGGTGCCTTCCTGGTTGCTTGTTGAGAGTTCAGCATTTGGCCAAACCTTGGGAGATGAAAGCGGGGGCAGAACGTGGACATTTGGTTTCATCAGATGTTCTGAAGCCAGATGAGGTCACTGCAAAAAGGTCACAGAGGATCTGACATAGGAGTGGGATCTGGATAGAAAAGAGGGGGATGTTTGTGGGAACAAGGAGCCATTGTATCCCATTCTTCCAAGCCGAGGCCATAATCAGCTGTGAAAACTGGCAAAGTTCTCTTGTGTTAGTCTATGGACCATGCAGAGTGGATATTTTTTTTTTTTTTGAAATAGAAGTAGTATTGCAAAAAACAACAGTAAAAGAGACTGTGGGGAGATGACCTATACCCAAGCAGGTCTGGGCTGCCTCCTGGTGCTGCACAGGATTAACTGATAGCAGGAAGCAGGAGTGAAGGGAAAAAGAGGAACTCTGGTAAAGGAACTAACTGATTCTTGTTCTAGATTTTGTGGTATATGAATTTACTTTGTTTGCAATGCAAGAAGTATTTGTTTGCAAAACTTGTACAAGTAATTGCAGATTTCATGATAGAATGATAACGTGTGTGTGTGTGTGTGTGTGTGTGTGTGTGTGTGTGTGTGTATGTATGTATGTATGTATGTATGTATGTATGTGTCAGGCCTGGAAGCCATCTTTTGCATTGGGCCTTCAGACCTGCCACATTTACTACTGTGGGAAATTGGGAGGGGAGATTGTATGGAGATGAGTGATATATAGTCATAATAACATTCCTTTCTCAGAGAGTCAAGGACATCTTGCCCTGACCTGGAGGGCTAGCTAGAACTGGGAGGCATTTCCAGTTGGGACGATGCTTTGATTGGACCATGTGATGGACTTGTGGGTGTTGGGCAGGGACTTGAAGTTTCCTTTGGGTGGGGAAAACCTGGAAACTTTCAGATTTGGGTTTTCCCAGATGTGCCAATATGACAACTCTAATAAAATGTAGCTTTGAAGATTTTCAAACCTATAGAGTTTTCTTTCGTTGGGGGTGTTACTTTTAACTCTGACAGTATGTATGCATGCATGTGTGTGTGTGTGTGTGTGTGTGTGTGTAATCTTTCAGGCCAAAAAATACAGAGGTTCCTTGAAACCCCTCCGCCCCCCCATATAAATGTCTTTTACCAATAATTGTTTTGGTTAACTTCACCAACAGTGAAACAAGAGGCTGAAATCATAGTATTATACTGAATCAAGAATAGAAAGTTCCAAATTGAATCCCTGGGAGTTATGGGGTGGGGGACAGGGAAGTTCCTGGTAACAACTAATAGGAGAATATCTTTGCCTTGAGATTTTGGTGCCATACTTGCTTTGTGGAAACATATGGTAAATCCCCTTGGCTGTAATCCAGCTTGGCCAACAATTAGACTGCCAGAATCTAATAAATCTGCAGAGATAAGAATTAATGAGCATGAATAGGTATATCAGCCTTAACCCGTTGATCTGTCAAGATATCTACTTTGCTCCTTCATTTTCACAACAAGGACAACATTGAAAAAATGTTTCCTATGATCAGCTGAATGTGAATCTGCTCATAACAGTGAACTTTTTAATTATCCTTTCTACTTCCTCACATGTTCTGGGGATAATGACCTCAGTTACTGTTTTTGCATGACCTCCAAAGTTCAGTGAATTTGTCTAGGAAGGGGAGAATTATGGTTAACAAGCCCTCATACTTGGAGAGTAGTAGGGAAAGGCCTGTATAAGGACTTGGAGACTCCATCAGTAGTAATAGCTAGATGTGATGAAATTTTGTAAGGAGATGGAGTCCCAGGGAGGAGAGGGTGAATTTCAGAGGAATAAGAGGAAACTCAATCAGATATTATGTATGAGAGAAAGGAGGTGAAGAGAGCCCCTCCCTAATAGTTCACAGAGTAGATTGTAGATGTCCAGAATGGAATAGGGTTTCCAGCTCAAGCAGGGGGTTGGATTAGGAGACCTTCAAGAACCTTTCCATCTCCACTCCTCTCCTCTCCTCTCCTCTCCTCTCCCCTCCCCTTCCCTCCCATTCCATTTCATTCCTAGTAGTCTGGCAAAATTTTGTTATAAGTGTGGAAACAATAAAGAACTCGTCTTGGAGTAATTATCATGTGTCATTCTTGGCTTTGGATATGACAGTAATACTGCTTAGAAAGCAGTAATACTACTAAGAAACACTTTATCCAACATAATTAATAGGGCCTCAGGTTCCTGCTCTAATTGTACCTGAATATAGTTTAGCGTGGCTCATTCAGGAAGAAAGGTGGTATACAGAATAAAATAGGAGAAGTGTGGTTTCTATTCTGACTTTCAAATAAAGATAGCAAGGAAGTTCTGAATTGCAGATCTGCCCCCTCTTCTGTACAGGCAGGATATTTTCAGGCAGCCATTTTAATTTTATGATTGTCCATCAATAATAGCATGGTGGGAAATGACATAACAGCTACTATAAGTCACAACTACCAGGAAAGACTATGGCAAGGATCCATCTGAAGGGAGTTTGCTTATGACCCAATAGGCTTTGAATCTTGCTTTATGGAAAGAGAGAGATTCTGCTTTGGCCTAGAAGAACAAATAGCCAGAAGCTTTGAAATAGCTGGGAATTTAGAGTACCGTAACATGAATGATGGCATTTACTTATTCAATTCCTATACTCTTTCTATCCAAACCCAGAAAGCAGCTTAATGGCAAAAAAAAAAAAAAGTAAAGAAAAACAGGATGTAGCAGGATGTGGTTCTAAATGTTTTCAGGCAAAGGACTTTCTCACACCCACACTTGAGTTTGATCCTTGTTTTTAAATTGGGAATGCTGGAGATTGTCATTGAACCCAAGAGTTTGTAAATGTAAACCAAGACACAAAAGTACATATGTATCTCCTCACAAGATCATCCAAAGCTTGTCAGAACCAGACTTGCCTTTTAGAAATAGCCTAAGACATTTCTTGGCCTTGCATTGCCATTTCATCTTCAGTGTCCAGTGACAACATACCTCCAGAAACCTTCCTTAATGCCAACAAGACTTCCTGTCCCGTTTAACTTTTTTACTTTATTATATTTAACGCAAGGTAGTGAATCTATCTAGTACTCCTTCTTCCTCCTATTTTCTCCACAATAACAATCTCATGAGGTGGTTGGCTAAGAGAGTGACCAGCTGGCTTTTCCAGCTGGCTTTCATGCTCAAAGCAGGCCTAGAATTTATAGTCTCCTGATTTCTAGCCTGGTTCCTTAACCACCATACTAAACTGGCTTATATTTTAAAAACACTCTTTTAAAAATGAGTACCATATCATCTGTGCTGGACCAGAAACATTGTCTGTGATAATGCCCTATGTTCTCAGAAATCCAGAGATGTTAATTCCCAAAAGCCAAATTCAAGTTTTAAAACAGATTGTCCCAAGATAACTGTGCTGACAAAACACATTTGTTATATTCATTCAGGAACAAAGGAGGGTGATAAACATAGTTTATATGCTATACGTTGTACGGTGCCTAAAAGGTATACTGAAAATAATATATTTTCCCCTAATTGTTTATCTGCTATTTTCTTCAGAAATGAATTTGCCCAAAAATAAAATCCTAGCATCATAAGATGCTCATATCCAGGGCTGGTCCAAGACATTCCTCTTGTATCTGCAGCTCAGGTCCATACCAGGGGTGGGTTCTACTTATCTTTACTACTGGTTTACAACGGATGCACAGATCGTCCATTATGACGTCCGGGCGGGTGGGCGGAGCTTCCCGCCGCTTATACTACCGGTTCGCAAGAACCGGACAGAACTGGGAGCACCCCACCACTGGTCCATACAATGTGATGTGATCTCAGGTTAGTTAAGACAGAAGAACCCCAATACAGCTCTCTACACTCCAGCAACCAAAGGCAACAATAACCAATTAAATAGTAAGATGCCTTTTGTGATGTTTAAAATCAGCCCACTTGTTTTATATAGAGCTAGATACTTCCACAAGATGCTTTTTATGTACACCTCACTATGAAGGCACATTGTTTTTTTCTATATTATATTTCTTTCCAATGATACCACTCCCCTCTCCAAAGTCATATCTTTTAAAAGTCTATGTGGCAGGGGTGTCCTGGGAAAATGTAAGGAGCTGGCCCGCATTGGCCAGCCCACCCAGGGAGCCACGCCCAGTGAGTGGTGTCAAGATGGCCACACCCACCCAGTTAACCACACCCACCCAGTCGGCCATGCATGCCCGGCCCTCTGAGGTCAACCACATCCCTTATGCAGCCCTCAATGAAATTGAGTTTGACACCCTTGCTATATGGGAATGAATATATGAGGAGAAAATAAATAAAATTTTAATTAAATTTAAGGATAAACAAAACTTATTTAATTTTGTTCTGGCCTGATCTGCTTCTGTCACAGTCTAGACAATATTTTGAAACATGGACTGCAGAATAGCAGCTAAGCCAAGTATGGCACTCAGCCTATCCTGAGGTAAAACCATGATAAATTAAGTCTCAGTATGATAGATTGCTAGAGTTTCAGTGTCAAACCCAGTATAACTCTGAAATACCAGTTTCTGGAAGACAGAGGGTGGTGGTGGGGAGAAGCCATTTGTCTTTGACTTATTTAAGTTTCCCAGAAGAATCATGCTGATCATTTCTATAAACAGGAAGTTGGATTAGATAAAGCACTGGTCTGATCCAGCCAGGTTTTCTTTGCGTGTTCTTAGTTTCGCATCTCAGCTGCTGCTGGGGAAAAGGGAATGAATGTAGTTGAAAGAGACCCAAGGTTTACCTTCAAATTGCCTAGTTGCAAAATGGAAATGATGAATTAGAAAAAGCACACTTAGGAGATAGATAACTCTCCTAGATAGCCTTTATTTATTACATTGAGCACAATGGTCAGGTAGTGCCATGCTCCGTTATTCAGCTTTTAAAAAGTCACTTCATGTATGTTTAAGAACAATGCAGAAATCACTTTGTTAGAAGGAGAAGTGGTCTCTTAAACCTCAACTCATACTCTACCAGTGTTGTACCAGACTTCATGGTTTACATCACCAACATCATGGCTTGACTTAGAGTCCAATCAACAAAGAATAACAGAAACAGAAAAAAACAGAGTTGGAAGGGACCTTGGAGGTCTTCTAGTCCAACCTCCTGCTCAGTCAGGAGACACTATACCAGTGATGGCTAACCTTTTTGCCATTGCGTGCCAGAATCAGGGGGAGCAAGGGGGGGTTGCGTGTGAGCGTGCCCACACCCATAATTCAATGCCCCCCACCCCCGTGCATGCGCGTGTGGTCCCTCTGCACTCCCCCCGCTTTTGGCACACGAAGGCAAAAAGGCTAGCGATGGACCCAGTAGGCCTGTTTTTCGCCCTCCCCAGGCTCCAGAGGCTTTCCCCACCCTCCCGGAGGCCTCTGGAGGCCAGAAACGGCCCGTTTCCTGACTTCTGGTGGGCTCAAAAGGCCAGA